ACTGCTATAGTACTAGCAATGATTATGTAACACAAAGAGCAATTTTTTGTGTGAACATGAGGTAACAAGTGTTTCAGGCATCTCATCTGTCTGTAGCAATACTTAAATTCTCTGGGGCAGACAGGCCCTCAGAGAGACTTCTCCAAAAGTGAACTTGCAGAACTCAACTGTGCTGCCCACATATCACATGCTTGTGTTCAAGACAACCTGTGATTTATTATTAATTATTATTGTAGCACTGAGGAGCCCCAGTCATAGACCAAGATCCTATTATGCTATGTGCTATACAAACACAGAAGACGGTTCCTGTTCATGCTTATCTGAGACTGTGCATGTACAAATATATTATTATTTGTTATGATTATTTATTATTTGTATTACCATAGCACCTTAGAGCCCTAGTCATGGAACAGGACCCCACTATGTCAGGTGCTGTACAAACAGAACAAAAAGACCGTTCCTGTCCCAAAGGGCTTGCAATCTAAGTATAAGACAAGAGACAACAGACGAATACAGAAAGATGAGAGAGTACAAGGGAATGAGACAACACTGGTCAGCTTGTTAGGCAGTGGTCTGAGCACACGAGCAGCCTAACTGTTGTCAATTTTTTTGTGGCCTTCACAGCAAAGGATATTTGAAGGAGGGTTTGAATGAGGATAGTAAGTTAGTTTTGTGGGTGTTTATGGGGAGCTTTTCCCAAGCATGAGGGGCAGCTTGGGAGAAAGCACAAAAGTGCTTTGTTTGAAAATTTAATTCGGGGGCGATGGAAGCTGGTGTCATGGGCTGATCAGGGATGGGAGTTGACCTTTTGATGAGAATGTAGAGACAACAGGTAAAGTAGGGATACGTTGTGAAGGGTCTTGAAAGTGAAGACAAATAGATTCATATGATAGAGAAGAGGGAGCCATGAGGGGATTCAAAGGAGAGGGTGACATGATCAAAGTGACATGCTAGGAAAATGATCTTTGCAGCAGCATTCTGAATGGATGCCAGTGGTGCAAGAAAGCATTTGTCAAAGCCAGAGAAAAGGATGTTGCAGAAATTGAGAAGTGAGATGAAGAGAGCATGGATGAGCGTTTAAGCTGTCTGTACACATACCTATGTACTAACAGTGCTATGCCCAGCCAACTCAAAAGCTTTCCTTGGTGCCTGAGAACCAAATTTGTTTACTGGCCCAATCCTGTTCTCATTGAAATCAATAACAAAATTCCTGTTGTCTTAAAAGGGAGCAAGATCAGGCCCCAACTGAGTATACTGGCTGTGTGCAAGCACTCTCCGTGGACACTGGGAGGAAATGGAATTCTTCCTCTGATGCACCACGAGCAAATCCATAAATGCTATACCAATCTCAGGACTGCAGTCATATTCACAACCCCTTTGCTCCTCTTCCTTGAAGCATATTGGCCAGAGGATCTGTACAGACAATCCTTCCATCCCTGCCTATTTCTTCAGCCCCCCTCTCCATAGCTGAGAAAGAGTATCAGCAACATGGTGCAGGTGGCACAGCATTCCAAGGGGCAGCCTCTTGGTGTCTCAGAAATGCCATTCTGATTCCTTTGCTTTGGTGGCATTCTCCAGTCCTTTCACAGGCTACAGGGCGGGACCTTAAATGTGTGTAGTTCTTTTAGAATGTCTACCGAACAATCTTTACTTGCATTGTAAGCTTCTTTGTTATATATGGGGCCTAGCATATTGGGGCCTCTTGGCATTACTCATGATAATGTGGTTTTGTTTGTCTCAGAAATAGAAGCCACCATTCTTGATGTCTGAAGAGTGGTAGTTGTTTTTGGGGGAGGAGGATGGGATAAAGTGAGAGGGGGTTGGGCCAAAATGAGACCATTTATTGGTCAAATCCTGCTCACCTTATTCGGTCCTGACTGAGAATTTGAGTTAATGTTTTTCCTCTTGTAGTGGGTAAATAGACTATTTCCTTTGATCAGTTTAGTCATTTACCGGTTATGTAACTTGTTGAATGACTAAACTTGGAACATATCAATAATAGTCACCTAGCATAACCCCCAAGTTAACAGTGAATGTTACAATATTTGTGGCTATTCTGATTTGTTGACACACAGATATACTTACTTTGAGTTGTAATTTTTTTCTTCTTGTTCTATTTCCTTTATGCCACTGTTTCTGGTGAGGATCATGGTGACAGTATGGACAGTAGAGTGGAACAGACCTCCTTTTCCTCTGCAACAGGTTCCAGCTCCTCCTGAGGGATTCCCAAGCCTTCCCAGGCCAGGTGGGAGATATAATTTCTCCAGAGTGTCCCGGGTCGGCCTCGGGGTCTCCTCCCAGTGGGACATGCCTGGTAGAGTTTCAAAGGAAGCCTCCCAGAGGGCATTCTTATCAGGTGCCCAAACCACCTCGGCTGGCTCCTCTTGATCCAGAGGAGTAGCAGTTCTCCTTCAAGGCTCCCCTGAATAGCCGAGCCCCTCCCACTATTTTGGAGAGTACACCCAGCCACGCTGTGGAGAAACCTCATTTCTGCCGCTTGTACCCACAGTTTTGTCCTTTTGGTCATTTCCCAAAGTTCATGACCATAGGTGAGGAACCTGCTTCACCACCACAGATTGATACAGCACCCACATCACTGTTACCGCCACACCAATCCACTGGTCAATCTCCTGCTCCCACTTGCCAACTTGTGAACAAGACCCCTAGATACTTGAACTCTTTCACTAAGGGCAGCTGCTCCCCCTTCACCTAGAGAGAACAATCCACTTTCCTCTGAGAGAGGACCATGACCTCCAATTTGGAGGTGCTGATTCTCATCCCAGCCGCTTCACAGTCACAGAAAATTACATTTTGCTGCTGTCTCTTATATAATGTCTTTTTATAATGTGACTCTATGAACAATCTCCCCTCCTCCTTTTTTTTTCTTTTTTTAACATTATAGATAGAGCCATTAGAACAGTAAAATAACTGATTCCATAAAGGATATATACCTCTGCAAAATTCAGGAGTCTAGCATATTCTTTGAGCAGGTTCACATTTTATAGTACTCTAAAAAGGACCCTCTGAAACTTAGAAAAGTCCTCTGGCATGGCCAGAGATGTAAAAAGAAATTCAAAACACTGTGAAGTAGCTGAGCTTAAGACATTTCTTCCATTCTCAGAGGCCTTGCTGATACTAGTGGTAGTCCTCATTTTAGGCATGGGAATATCTCTCAAACCAGTAGAATCTTTCAAAACAAGGGGTGGGGGAGATGTTTTTAGTTTGTAATTACTGCAGCTGCTCAGTAATGGAGTACACCAAACCCATAATGTGCCAGTAGCATACCACGGCTCAAAGGCAAGTACTGTTGGTGCTTCAGAAGCAAGGTCTTCAGGGTGCTGGCCTTGGTAGGTGCCAGTAACCAGTCAGACATGTGGCTACAAGAAAAGGTATTTTACTAGGGCTGGTAGGAAAGGGAAAGGTTGCACATATCTTAGGTTCAGAGGCTTAAACTTTTACAGTTCAAAGTGAGCCATAGCTGTAAATGTTTGGGTCCCTGGAGCAGTCCAGTTGAGAAGTAGGGATCTTCAGGGATAGTTCCTGGGGTACCCTCTCCAATGTAGCTCTATTCCAAGCAAATAGGAATGTATAAGTTTCCAAACCAGGCTCAGTGTCCCAGTTTGGGGCTTCTTTGCACTGCCTCTCTGCCCGCCTGCTGTTGCTTCTCTGTAAGTGCCATATAGGCCTGCACCCAGCTGTGATGTCCAGCAGTCACAGCCTTTTCCATGTGGGGCTCTGTATATGGTTTCTGGGAATCTTTTTAGGCTCTAGCTTCACTGTAGCTCCTGGCTAGCCATGCAGCTCTGGCTTTACTGAACAGAGCATGGCAGTGTCCACTTTCTGGTTCAAGACTTTCCCCACTGCACATCCCCTTCCTTCTAGCCAGATAAGGGGAAAGGACTGATTCAAATTGGAATTAATGCATTCACCTTTAGCCTGGCTGCCCACAACTCTCCCATCAGGGGCCCAGGTCAAACCTGAGTGATGCAGTGAGCCCATGCCCAAGGTGCCAAGTCACTAAGCCCAGAGTGGGGGGCCGAGCCCAGCCTGCCATAAGTGACGGGAACTACTGCTGTGGGATGAGTACAGGGTCACTCTGCAACTCCCCCCTTTGTGGGGGCAGCACCCACCTCCCAACCCCAGTGACAGCACACAACCTTGCCCCTCCAGGGACAGGACCTGCCCTGCGTTAGCTGCTAAAAATGTTGGGAAGTATGGTATAAGTGCAACCAAACACCCAGTACTTATACAAATCATGTAAGTGTTAAAAATAACCCTACAATAAGGTTATAACCCTCCTCTTCCTTTTTTCAGTTTGCTCCCTGTGCACCCACTTAATTCATTCTTCTTAATCCTCATAATAAGCCTATACAGTTGAACAGTAGGTTTTGATTATTCTTTTTTTTTGGGGGGGGGGGGGAGAGGGAATATTTGTGATTTATTGAAAGTAATGGTGGGGTGGGCGGCGGGGAGAGGTACATTGGTGCAGATGTAGATTGGTGTATTCCTCTGCCTTGTGTTCTCACAAAGTTGGCAGGTCTGGCTAACCCCAGGCTTTGGAAGCCCAGGCTGTTGGTTGTGCTGGGTGGAGCCTCCCCTGTGGGCCTTAGGTGTTGGAGGTAAAAGGGGTTGCACGCATTGGATGCATGCTCCCTGCTTTGAGGGACGCGTTGGCTGCTCGAATCTATGTCAAATGCCTTCAGGTGCTATGGGTAAGGGCGTCTTAAGAGGAGCTGTGCCAACAGTTAGCGCCCCGGCTGCGCGGATACAAATGTGTAGCCGCGTAGGGCTCTATTACCACTGCCGTATAAGCAGGAAAGTCTGTTTTGCCTGGCCCACACCCCGAGCTGCGCGGCGCAGGGACCGTGGCCGAAATCGGGGCGGTCAAGCTTGTGCAATCGAACTCCCCTGGCCCCCAGCCATCAACAAGGGCGGCCAAGCGGCAGGCGCAAAGCCCGGGCTGGACTCGGCACTTTAGCGCCTGCAGACCTGTTGCCCGGGAAGCGCTCCGCAGCAGAGAGCGGCGCCTGCAGCAGGCAGGGGATCCAGCTCGGCTTTTTCGAGCGGCTTCCACGTGGCCCTTCAGTCGGGCTAGAGGGAGCCGCTCCCCAGCCGCACGGGACGGGACCGGTCAGCTGAGCGGCACCACCATGGACCTCCAGCGCAGGGCGATACGGCTCCTCGCCTGCAGCCGGGTCTGGGGCAAGGGCTGGCTGAGCGGGGCAGCCCCGCGCGGCGCAGCGAGCGCTCCCGCCGCCCGGCGCTGCTTCTGCGCCGGCCAGGCCCCCCCCGAGGGCGCGTACGAGCAAGCGTTCAGGGCTGCCGTGGCGGAGCCCGAGAAGTTGTGGGGAGAAGCCGCCGGGCGCATCCAGTGGCACAAGCCCTGGGTGAAAATCGTGGACAGGAGCAACCCGCTGGTCGCCTCCTGGTGAGCGACACCCCGCCTCCGGGGGCGCCCTCGGAGCAGTGGGTGACAGGGCGGCGGTCGAGCAGAGAAGGGCTAGAGACAGCGGGAGGAAGCCCAGTGTCCCTCCCAGCCTGCAGCGGGGGGCTGGAGGGACGCAAGAGAGGGTCGGGTGTGTGGAGAGGAGGAGGAGCAGGGAATGTCCCAAACCTTTCATGGGGATTGAGTGTGGGAGAAGCAGTGTCTCTAGCCTATAGTAAGGGACAGGGGTTGACTTGTGTGTGGTGGTGGGGAGGAGAAGAGAATGCCTCTAATGCATAAGGCGGGTCAGGTGTGTTGGAGGGAGAACATGCCCTCAGCCTTTAATAGGGTCACTGGTGCACATCTTCTTTGAGTTCTGGTGTTCACTGGTGTTCTTCTTTCCTGGATCTTCACCAGGAGCATGCCTGGTATACCTGCCATAACAAATGTCTCTGTTTTGACTAGAGGATATGGACCCTTTTAAGTGGGAAAATGGGCACGTTTCATCAGTATTAAAATATGGATAAGGAAGCCGAATCCATGTGTGTTCTGTTGGCTGTTTCTGTAGCATCACAGCAAAAGTAGATCACAGTGTAAAGAATAAATGTTTGCTATACAGTTTATGGCAGAGGATGTATATAACATGAGATTACAGGTAAAACATCGCACCGTTCACTGAGAGAGTGCATGCTACTTACACTAAACTAAAATCCAATTACTGCAAGAGATTTTAGATACATTAAAATCTTGTTACATTTATTTATTATTATTATATGTTCTAAAAGAGAATACATTAGTCTGCTAAATTGATATGCAGTTTGTGAAAAGTTTGTACTCTGGAAAGAAGACCTATTTTATTATGGTGACTTTTGACCAAAAGTTTTATATTTTGGCCATAGATTAATGCAGCAACATAATTGATATCAGTCAGTTAAAGTAAATTGCAAGATAATTTGTTATATTCAATGCCTTTCTAAAGATGGCTTCACTATTGAACATCCTTTTTTTGGTACTGTGGGGGCAGGATATTAGAACAAGCATTTCCATTGCTTTCCCCTAGAAAAACTGAGTACAATATACATCAAAAAACCACTGGAGCAGTGTCCCAGCTGTGTGTTTAGTAAGTCTATGCCCAATGTCTTTTTTTGGCTTTCATAAGGGAACTTCAATTAAACTCACTGTTTAGAGACTTTAGTTTAAAAATTATGATCAAGCATGTGATCTGTCAGAGTTCTAAATCATTTCCACTAATTTAGCTGTAATACAATAATTTGTCGTGACAATATAAGCATTATTTGTTCTGCATCTCTCCACTGTAATAAAATAACTAAGGAGGATGTTAAACAAAAGATTCCCAGAAAAGATTCCCGCGCTCTGGGAGGCGCGGCTGTGCGCTCATGCAGGGCAGCGCATCTGGCTCCAGCCGGGCGGCACGGCTCCAGACATGCTGCTCTGAGCGGCATGGTAAGGGGGCTGGAGCCGGAGGGCTGGATATGGGGCAAGGGGTCCCGGGGGGCAATCAGGGGACAGTTGGATAGGGCAGAGGTTCGGGAGGGGGGGCAGGTTGATGGGGTTAGGGCAGTCAGGGAACAGGGGGGGTGGTGGATGGGGGTGAGATATTCTGAGGGGGGCAGTCAGTGGGATGGGTCAGATAGGGGGCGGGGGCCAGGCTGTTTGGGGGGCACAGCCTTCCCTACCCAGTCCTCCCTACAGTTTCGCACCCCAATGTGGCCCTCGAGCCAAAAAGTTTGCCCACCCCGTTCTACTTGCTCTTTTTTAACACTGGCATGACATTAGTATTCTTTCAGTCTTCTGAAACTTCCCCCGTATTCCAAGATTTATTAAAAATTAATATCAGTGTATGACAGATCTCCTTAGCTATCTGTTTTAGGACTCTTAGGTGTAAGTTATCCAGGCCTGCTTATTTAAAAACATTTATCCCTAGTAGATTGTTTACATGAGGTAGCTTTGAAGATGTTTATGGGGCACTCTTCCATGAGGGGTAGCATGGGAGAAAGCAGAGAAGTGCTTGTTTGAAAATTTAACAAGTAAGCAATGGAGGCTGGTGCCATTGGTAGATCAAAAGCAGGAGTCAACATTTCAGTAGTGATGATAGGGAGATGATAGGCAGTGAAAGGCCTTTGAAAGTGAAGACAAGTAGCTTGTATTTGATCTGATAAAGAAGTGGGGGGGGGGGGGGGACAATGGAGGGCTACAAAGAGGAATAATGTGATCAAAGCAATGGATCTGTGCAGCAGCATTCTGAATGGATAAGAGTGTGGCAAGATTGTATTTGTCTTATAAGGTAAACAAAAGATGTTGCAATAATCGACATGCGAAATGGCAGGAGTTTTAGCTTTGTGGATGGATATTATGCAGAGAGAATTTGGCAAAACTTAGACAGACATAGCCTGTGTCAGGGTTCCTTCCCCACTCTGAACTCTAGGGTACAGATGTCGGGACCCACATGAAAGACCCCCTAACCTTATTCTTACCAGCTTAGGTTAAAACTTCCCCAAGGTACAAACTTTGCCTTGTCATTGAACAGTATGCTGCCCCCACCAAGCGTTTTAAACAAAGAACAGGGAAAGAGACCACGTGGAGACGTCTTCCCCCACCAAATATCCCCCCCCAAGCCCTACACACCTCTTTTTCTGGGGAGGCTTGAGAATAATATCCTAACCAATTGGTTACAAAATCATCAAAGACCCAAACCCCTGGATCTTGGAACCATGGAAAAATCCGTCAGGTTCTTAAAAGAAGGATGTTATTAAAAGAGAGAGGGGTAAAAATCATCTCTGTAAAATCAGGATGGAAAATACAGGGTGTTCAGATTCAAAACACAGAGGATCCCCCTCTGGGCAAAACCTTAAAGTTACAGAAAACAGGAATAAACCTCCCTCTTAACACAGGGAAAATTCACATAAAACAAAAGATAAACTAATCTGCCTTGCCTGGATTATCTATATTGGTTGCAATATTGGAGACTTGGATTAGGATGGGTTGGAGAAGATAGATTTCTGATTGGCCTCTCTCAGTCCCCAGAGAGAACAATCACGTAAACAAAGAGCACAAAACAAAAGCCTTCCTTCCCCCAAGATTTGAAAGTATCCTGTCCCCTTATTGGTTCTTTGGGTCACGTGCCAGCCAGGTTAGCTGAGCTTCTTAACCCTTTTCAGGTAACAGATGTTGCCTCTGGCCAGGAGGGATTTTATAGTACGGTATACAGAAAGGTGGGTACCCTTCCCTTTATATTTATGACAGCCTGGATGCAAGGATCTAGAGAAAGGGCTGAGTCAAAGGTGATGCTCAGGTTATGGGTCAGAGTGTCAGATCTGGTAAGATGGTGGGGTTGTCCACCATGATCAAGAGCAGAGGTAGAAGGGAACTGTTAGGGGGCTTATTCCTTCACCCACTTACTTCCCTGGTCCTTCTCGCATGAACAGAGAGCAACAATACCCGAAGTCCAAAGGTGCAAACAATTCGATGTTTATTGGGGTGAACTTCCAGCAAGTATGATTCCAGTTTCCTTCCTTAGTATCCTCCTTCCCAGCTCTGACACCACAGAGCCTTACACCTGTGTCCCTGTTCCCATTCCTACCCTTAGCCAAACATGATTCCAATTTTCTTACCCCCATTCCCTGTTCCCATCTCCCTCCCTCCCACCCACCCACACCCACTCACTCACTTCCTCACTGACTACAGATTATATAGTAAAACTTGAGTTCTGCTTAATTATACCTTAACCAATCATTTTCCTGAAATTTAACTAACCAATCCTAACATATTGTAACATGATTATGTAACCAATTATATCCCACCACCTTAATTAGTTTACACCCAGCAAAATTAATTATACAGCAGACAGGAACAATCACAGAACCAGACAGAGATAATACAGACAAACAATAGCAAAGTGGGAACTATAATGACAAGACAATACAGAATTGAGGATTTCACATCCCAGCTATTGATAAGTGAGTTCTTGCCAGACAGGATGCTATCAAATGAAGTTTCCTTTTACATTTTCTAGGCACTTCCCTTTCTCTGGAGGTGATAGGAATACAATCCTGTCCTGATAGTGCCTAACAGCCCAATAGCACCTTATTTCAATGTGACTAGTTTGGGATGTGACTGTTCGCTTCCCAGCTCATGGCTGCCTCTGCTGCTTAGCCAAAGGCCTTAGCCTAAGAACAGGGCCTCAGACTGTCACAGTAAGAGAAGGCCCTTACACCAGCAGATAGTGATTTTGATTCTTTCTTTTATACCTCTATAATTAGCCAAGTGATAAGAATACACCTAAATTCTTAGAGTATAGGCCTTTACAGACAGGCCTGAATATCTATATCCTAACAGGAACTCTTTGGGGGAGTGACTAATACAGATAGGACCACACTTCTTGAAGAACCTCCAGTTACATGTAAGTAACCTCCTCTTCCTAAAAGATACTAGAATTGCAGAATATTTCTGAGATAGGCTACTGGTAAACAATTTTTTTTTTTAAACTTACTTGCAGCAACCATTAACTTTCTTGCTGATGCAGTGAAAGGCAGTCATTAGTGCTGTATCCTGGGGGGCAGCAGTTTTAGGAAGAAATCACTTGAGACACAGAGTCCTGAGAGCCATGAAAGCAGCCATTTATTTTCACACACTGAACTAACCAAACCAGCCAAAATTGGCTGGGCTATCCCCTAATAATGTAACTGAGTTGCCATAGCAACAACAAGATACACAACATATTCCTCCCCCCTTAATAAGAACATTCCCTAAATAAAACAAACACTAAACTAGAGAAGGAGGGTAGACTGCCTCCATTCCCGGCTAAACCCTGGGGATTATTTTGCCCCATAACCGTGGGTTCGCCCTAGCTAAAGATCCAGCCATTGAGGAGGTCTTCTGTCTCTAGGTGGATTATGGCGAACTTTGGGTGGTGTTGCACCTGAAAGTACCTTGGGCGCAGGCCTAACAATGGGCTCAGGGTTCGTAGCGTGAACAGGTGAGGA